CGCGGACATCGACGAGACGATAGAGTTGAATGTCCCCCGCGCGGCGTCGGTGGGTTGTTCAGATGTCAGGATCCTAAGAGTTCAATTTCAAGCAGCACATAATCTCAGGCTGCGAAGCACCACGGCGGGCTCGAGTCAGGGACCGATGTGGGACCTCCGCGTCGCCTTTTCACCATCGATTGCTTGCTCTTCCCAATGGCGCTTGTCTAGCAGAACTACTGGTCACCATAGCAGCTGGAGCTTCTTTGCCACGGGCTCGTCGAGCTGAGTCGGTGAAAGCGGCAGGCAGAGGAGTGGATGTCTTCCAGCTAGGTGCCCGTTGTGGTGAAGATGCTGAGGATGGCTTTCGGCTGTCCGGGGGATGCGTGTAATGCGGATTATCCAGTTCATATTGATTTCATGTCATTGGCACATGGTGCGCAGGGCAGCTATCAGACAGTTGACAGTTTTAATTGAGGGGTCTCATTCCCCAGGATCGCTAATCAGCTTCAGCGCAAGTGTCACAGTGCGATTGGAGCTCCTCAGGGATGGGGTGTAATGAGTTGTAGCCTGTCCGGGGAGGCGAGAGAAGGCGCCGATTCAAACAGCAACCACTCCAGGAAAGTCGGGGTCTCAGTGGCCAGAGTCGGATTGTTCGCACCGTTCTCACTTGCTGCCAGTGTCTGGTCCTCTTGCGGGGCCCGAGGCGGGCCACGAGCGCTGCTGCTCGTTGCCGAGTACGCCGAGGGCCACGTGGTGCACGCGACCGACAACAATGGAGTAGCGGACGTGTGCTTACCAATCTTAGTTCCGAATGTCAGGACCATATGCCGATGTATGGCAGGAGGTTGGAAAGTTGTTCAAAACGAAAAACGCGTCCCTCTTCGTGGTGTTGTTCGTGCCAGCCACTTCGAAGCCATTGACCTTCTCCGAAGTTCAGTTCCGTGGCGGCTGGTGCAGGGCAAGTGTTTCACATAGGTCCTTCCCCGAACACCAGCCGACTGAGCCAAACTATCATAGCATGCTAATCGCGCAGTTCACTTCGTGGACACGAAAGGCGTTGGTTGCCCGACTACACCTTCTCAAAGGAGCAATCGACAGTTTGGGGCACGTGTGAAACAAATCGCTGAGCCAGGCCCGAGGGCTAGGCATGAGTCAGGAGGGGGAAAAAAACACAGACACAATTAATCGTCGATTCCTCAGAAAATATGGGAAAATATGGGAAGTGTATGTGAAGACAAAAACCCAGAAAATATGGGAAAATATGGGGAATCTTTTTATTTGTGTGTATTTATTTGTGTGTCCTGGGGCCCCTTCAATGAGGTGCGTCCACCTTCATCTTCATCTTCCCTGCAGGTGCTCACAACATGGCAGAAGTTTGCCGGCTTCGGCCGCCGATGCCTCCGATGTTGTAGCTCCGCAGCCCTGGCCAGACAGTCTCTGTGGCGCTCTGCACAGGGCTTCGCACCAAGCGCTGGAAACTGTGTTCTGATTCGTGTGCCACCAGAACCTGCACGTCACGGGCGGCAGGGGGCACCAAAGTCATCGGATGCAGTTGCATATGTGACTGCGATTTTGCTTTCGCAGTGCACGTGGGCATGTTGCAAGTCAGCGGATTTGGGGCTTGGGACAAGAAGGATACGAACCCCTTCTGAGCCGAGCATCCAAATCGAATCCTTTCGGGCCACTGGCCGAAGGTTGGAAGTCGGGCCGGGAAGGCTCGGAAGGGGGGCACGATTTGGCTTTCGAGCTCGTTTCGCGGCGGGTGTCACCCATTCGCTCACTCACTCACTCACTCCCCCTCTTCCTCCTGCCCCGTTCTTCCCTTCTCCTCCCACGCCCTCTCTTTCTCTGTCTCCCCCACCTCCTCCACCTCCTCCACCTCCTCCTCATCCTGCTCTCCCCTTTCTCAACCTTTCCCTCCTTTCCCTCCTTTCCCTCCTTCTGCTTCTCCTCCTCCTTCTCGTGGCTAGGACGCCGTCCCTCCCCCTCACGCATTCGATGCTCTTCCTCAGCATCCCCCCTGGCGTCCTCCGAGGTCCTCTTGACCGTCGTGCCTCCCTCGTTCCTCCTCGCGGGGTCTGGCGGTGACGCTCGACCCGCGTGTCGCCGCCCGCTGCTGCAACTAGAAGCAAACGGTCTTCGTCCTCCAAACGGAGCGGGGCTGCGCTGTCGCGACCGGTGCGCCCGCAGCCGCCTTCATCTCGTCCCCGCTGGCACGCGTCCACGGCCGGAGGGGCGCAGCGGCGACGCCCCCCGCGGCAGGCGGGGGCCCGTGGAGGAGAGGGGGGATGCGAGGAGCGAGCGCGGAGCAACGACCGCGGATGATTATGATGATGATGATGGATGATGATGACGATGAAGGATGAGGATGAGGATGAGGATGAGGATGAGGATGAGGATGATGATGATGATGATGATGATGATGATGATGATGATGATGACGATGCTGCTGCTGCTGATGATGATGATGATGATGATGATGATGATGATCATGATCATGAGGCTGAGTGATGAGGATGAGGATGATGATGCTGATGATGATGAGGAGGATGAGGATGAGGATGTTAAGGGTGAGGATGAGGACGAGGATGACGATGATACGGATGAGGATGAGGATGAGGATGTGGATGAGGATGAGGATGTGGATGAGGATGAGGACGATGAGGCTGATGATGATGATGATGATGATGATGATGACGATGCTGCTGCTGCTGATGATGATGATGATGATGATGATGATGATGATGATGATGATGATGATGATGATGATGAGATGATGATGAGGATGATGATGCTGATGATGATGAGGAGGATGAGGATGAGGATGTTAAGGGTGAGGATGAGGACGAGGATGACGATGATACGGATGAGGATGAGGATGAGGATGTGGATGAGGATGAGGATGTGGATGAGGATGAGGACGATGAGGCTGATGATGATGATGATGATGATGATGATGATGATGATGATGATGATGATGATGATGATGATGATGATGATGATGATGATGATGATGATGATGATGATGATGATGATGATGATGATGATGATGATGATGATGATGATGTTGAGGGGGAGGAGGGCAGCGCTCAGAAGTAGCCAAGCAGATCGAGGAACTCGCCTTCCGGAAAAACGACAAGCAGAAGTCGGGTCCCAAACAGCCGAAGAAGAAGTAGCCCACTCCTTGGACACAAAACTGACCCCAGATGGAACCCTCACCAGTTTGTTCAAGTGTCAAAATGTTGAGTCGCACAACCGACTAGCTAATGAATGGGCGTTGGTACGGTCATATATGTGCGGCTTGTCAGATTGCATCTCTCTCATACCCTGGTGGACGCCAACATGTCAAAATATCCAACCTCGTCCATGGCGGCTTCCACGACCTCATCCTTGACTGGCTGGTCCATTGGCCGAACCTCATGTTGTGCAACAGGTTCGAGGGGTCGAGCGTGTTCGCGATTGAGGTGGAGGGTGGCCCCTGATGGCCTGCGCGCTGCTTTGCCTGTCCTCCCGTACCGTCTCTCGGCCAGGGAGGAGGGAGGGAGGAGGGAGGGAGGGAGGGAGGGAGGGAGGGAGGGAGGGGGAGGGAGGGAGGGAGGGAGGGAGGGAGGGAGGAGGAGGAGGGAGGAGGAGGAGGAGGAGGAGGAGGAGGAGGAGGAGGAGGAGGAGGAGGAGGAGAGGGGAGCGGCCTCCCTGCCCCAGAGGGGGACGAGGGCGCCGCTCTCGCAGTGCCGCCTCCGCGGAGGGCGCGTGAGGGTGGGGTGACGGCCTCTCCGTCCGTTTCTGCACGCGCACCCGTCTGTGGGCCCTCCGTTCGGAACACAGGTTTTCGAGCGCGCCGATTTCGGTTGGTTTTCCCTTAGGCCCCTCCCGAAGCGTCCTTTCCTGGAAGGTTCCTGGGCGCAGTGGTTGAAAGAAAGGAGCTCGGCGGAAGGCGGCGGAAGTAAAACATGCGCCCCGAAGGGATAAACACGTTTTTGGGTACAGGGTTTTCGGAAGCGCCCAGGTAGTTGGAGTGACATTTGCCTGGTTATGCGGTGCCAGAGCGAGATGGTCCAGCTGGGATTTGAGCCGCGCACCTGCAGAGTATGAGACAAGGCGCTCCCGAATAGATGTCAGATTGCATAACAGAAGATGTGCGTCCCCAGCGCGCAGAGCAGGAAGGAACTGGACACGCGACGAGCGCGGGCCAAACCAAGCCGGCTAGGGCTGGAACCGTGCCCGTGGAAAGGGCGGGTCAAACAAATGTATTGGTCTGTGCGTCTGCCCACGGAGACCGGGCACGCCAAGAGTGCGGGCCCAAGTTGGGCCCGCGGGTTATGCGGGCCAACAAAATCTGGCCCCCTGAGAGTTCTGCGACATCAGAACGCGGCGAGCGCGCAAGAGTGAACGATCCGCGCGATATTTTGTGTCGTGCCGACGCGGCGGCGACTCATGCGCGTGCGTTCAAGGGTGTACACCGCTGGTGGCCAGAAACCGGCCGATGCCGAGCGACCTGTGACATCGGAACGTCGCGAGCGCGCATGACAGAGCGATCCATGTCGTCACAGCACATCGTCAAGCCTCCCTCCTCCCTTGTCCCTCGTCCCTCTCTCGCTCCCTCCCTCATCCCTCCTCTCGCCCTCCCGGAGCTTGTGCCTCTTCCCCCCGTGGGGCTCGCCCGCCCGTCTGGCTTGCTTCGTGCCTGGGGCCCCGTCTCAGAGTGCGGCGGCGCCTGCTCTCTGTCCGCTGTTGGCCGGTCCTCGATCAGCCACGCGCAGAGGGGGGAGGTGGGAGGTCTTCTTAGAAGCGTTCCTGCTTCATAGAAGGCGCGGGCCTTATCTATAGGTGTAAGGCCGGCGCCTTCTAAGAAGCAGCCTCCTTCTAAGAAGCCGTCCCCCCTACCTCCACCCCGTTGTGCGCGCCGCCAACTCGACACGGCAGCCACGGCGCAGGTCGTCACGGCACGCGCCCGCCGTTTGTCTCCCTGGCCCCCTCTTCGGGCGCCTCCAGGTCTCCTCGGGCCGGTGGCCCTCGCGATGATGTTCAACATCCCAGGGCTGCAGTCCAGGAGGGGACCGGGTGACCCGGGTGGGAGGACGAGGAAGGGTATATGAGGGAGGCAGTGATGATGAGGAGGAGGATGAGGAGGAGGAGAAGGAGGAGGAGGAGGAGGAGCTCTCTGGCGACGGTTGAAGTGCCCTGCCAGTGCCTAGATCGGTCCGGGATGGAAAGCCAGTCCCAGGATGAGTCGAGAGGTTCAGGGCCCGCGTCGTGCTACACCGACGATGGCGGATGTTTGGACCCCTTCCCCCTCTCCCCCTTTTACCATTCCCCACTCCCCCCCACCACTCTCCCACTCCTCGCTCCTCGCTACCTCCTCCCTCCTCCCTCCTTCCTTTTGCTTCCTCCCTCCTCCCTCCTCCCTCGCGAGATGGATGATGGTGATGACGGTGACGGTGACGGTGACGACGATGAGGATGCTTATGATGATGATGATGAGGATGATGATGATGCTGATGCTTATAATGATGACGGTGATGCTGAGGCTGCTCGTTTTGATGATATGATCATCTTGGTGATGGTGATGCTGATGCATATGATGATGCTGATGATGCTGATGATGATAATGATGATCATGGTGATGATGATGCTGGTGATGAAGATTCAGATGACGATGATGAGGATGCTGCTCATGATGATGACGATGATGATGCTGCTGATAATGAGGATGGCGATGATGATGCTGATGATGAGGATGCTGACGATGCTGATGGTGACGACGACGATGATGATACTTATGATGATGACGACGATGCTGCTGCTGATGCTGATGCTGATTCTGCTGATAATGATACTGATGCTGATGCTGATGAGGCTGATGCTGATGCTGATGATGATGCTGATGCTGATGAGGTGCTGATGATGATGATGCTGATGCTGATGCTGATGCTGATGCTTATGATGATGATGATGATGATGATGATGATGATGATGATGAGGATGAGGATGATGATGATGATGATGATGATGCTGATGATGATGCTGATGATGCTGATGATGCTGATGCTGATGCTGATGATGCTGATGATGATGATGATGATGGTGATGGTGATGGTGATGGTGATGGTGATGGTGATGATGATGCTGATGATGATGCTGCTGATGATGATGATAATGATGATGCTGAGGCGGAGGAGGAGGAAGAGGAGGAGGATGAGAAGGATCAAACAGGAGGAGGATCAAGGATAAAGGACGGAGAGGAGGAGGAGGAGGAGGATGAGGAGAAGGAGAAGGAGGGGGATATAAGCAATCACAGGAGCAGGAGCGGGAGCGAGAACTGGAAGCAGGAGGAGGAGGAGGACAAGGAGGAGGAGGAGGAGGAGGAGATTGTGAAGAGGGAGCGTAGGCCAATTTGCTGTATTCACTGCTGGAGCTAACTTTTCGACGAGCTCTACCCAGATGGGCCTTCAGGATTCTAAACTTTCGGTGGCCCCCTTTTTTTTCCCTGGGAATCACACGTGCACGGGCGAGACCAGTTAGCAGGTTAGTCTCTCGTTCGATGTACCTTCTCTGTGAGGAGAACGAGGGAAAGCTCTCGCTCCCCGTCTTGGTTGATGGAGACCAGGATTGGGGATCGGGATCTTTTTATTTTCTCTGCGCCTAAAGCATGCACAGCAGTCAAACCGAAAATGTGACCTTGGCGCCGAAACCTTGCCTTGCACGCGACATTGAGTTTACGCGGGGCAGCCTGTGGCCACGCCGGCTGTAACCCTGATTGTTTTTTGGACGGCGGCTCTGGTTGATCCTGCTCCGCGTCGTCTGGTGAGGGCCCGGTTCCTTGCACTACGCTCCGAGCTATGCCCAACCCTCGCCCACTGGGAAATACCGGTGCGTGTGCAGGAATAAAAAAGAACAGGAGGAGGAGGAGGAGGCGGAGGAGTAACAGCAGGAAGAGGGCGAGAAACAGGAGGAGTCCATAGCCACTTTGGCTCAAACCATTTTCGCTAAGTGCGAAGCCGTCGCACATCGGCTTGGTGCTTGACTGCAGCCCAGGGGCAGGCCCAAGGGTGGCCGGCCTTTACAGGTTTCTGCAGCGCCGTCCTTGCGAGCCCTCGAGCAGCAAGTCGCCTGTCTCAGCGCATCTCTTACGCCCGAATGAGGCACCATCGTGGCACTTTCCATCCGGCAGCCGATGCCCGAAACTTGGCAATGTCGGCAGTGCAATCGCAACGTGCTTATACGCTATTGGCAGTGCCAGCGTGGCAGCGTGTGGCAGTGCCAAAGACCGCAAAGCAGGAGAAGAGATCATCGTCGGTCCCGAACGCCGTGCCAACAGCATTCAGTTGCACAGGTACGAGAACGGCCAGTGAAAAGACGTGGTCCCATCACGCAGGAGGAAACTGCCAGGTCACCAGATCCAGCAGTCAGCAAGATCGTGGCAGAGGCGTGCCCGAACTTCCTCGCGCCCCCGACAACGCCAGGCCATGCCCAGGCGTGCAAGGCCGACGCGGGACACTCCCTGGAAGTCTGGCTGCATCGGTTGTCGCGACCAGGAGGGCAATATCGGAGAACGATGGCAGCCTTGAGGATATCGTAGCGGTGAAGTACGCCCTGGCTTCGCTCGAGCCTACCAGAGACCGCATCGCCAAGGTCTGAACGGACATCGAGATCACCCGCAAGAGGGTTACGGCCACAGAAACCCAACTCGAGGAGGCCCAGGCCCAAAGGGAATACCTAAGATCGAGATGCTGGAGGAGAGCGGAAGCAGCGTGAGGCCCAGGAGTTCGCCCAGAAGACGGAACAGGAATCGGCAGCGCAGCAGGCGGCCCAGGGCCCGCGCCCGCCACCTCTGAGACCTCACGCATCATGGGCAAGCAGCCCCACCCATGGCCCCCGGCTCCCCTTGGAACAGTACCCCAGCTGGCATGCGCGATGTCATGGTCAAGACCGCGCAGCAACAACAGATGTGAATGATGGAGAAGAGCGCTCGGGCAGGGAGCGGGTCCAACGGGGCTCATGATTGTGAGGATGAACGTGACAGCGGCCCAAAATCAACGACCATGGCGTCCAAGGCCGAGTCCACAACCGAAAAGAGCATGGGAGACAGCCGCGCCACTGACATCCAAAGCCAAGCGCCAGGCCATGCCGTCTCAGCTGGACGCGATGAAGGACGCTGTTGTGGGTCAGCTGGTTATCGCGCCGTCCAGCCCGACCTTCGATCGGTGACCTGCGCATTTTCAGGGTGGCTTGGGGGCGCCGTGCGAGCCGACGCAAATCGTCGCAACCCAGGAGGACCTTGAAAAGCAGCAGAGGATGAACGCGGAGATGGTCGCGCAGCAGATCGCCCAACGTCAGCTGCAGCGCCGGGCCCGGCCGGTCATCGCCCCATCGCAACACGACGCGACTCAGAAGGAACTGTGTGACTGTGGTGGGGGGTTTGTGGACCGACGCAAATGTGGGGTTCGCTGCAGAGCGACCAGAACGTGGATCAGAACAAGCCATCGACGCCAATCCCTTGGCGCATGCGCAGATGGACGCACGCTGATTTTTCATGGGAAACGAAGAAGGATCAGCGATGCAGTTGTCACTTTGCATTGCATTTTGCAGTGCCGCCCCATTCCGATGAAGCGCTTGCTGCGGCGCGCGCGTGACGCGCAGGTGTCGCCGAGCCGTTGGTCGCGTTAGCATCCATGGGTCAGTTAGCTTTTGCGCAGTGACGTCAGGGCCTGGGCCAGGTTAAGTTTGGGATTTGCCGCGTTAGGGGGGGCGTGCCCTGGCCGGCGCGCCCAGGGGAGGGGCTGCCCAGGAAGCAGAGTTGAAGACAATGAGGCGGTCATCGGCAGACCGGTGTAGCGCGCCAGTTCGCGCGCGACCTGGGGCGCCAACCTGGTCGGATATCATTTGTTGGGGCAGAGCGGGGGCCCGTGGCATATTGAAAAGCTAAAGCGGACTCGTTTCGCAAGTCGACGAGCATCGGGGTCGACTTCGGCCTGGCGGAGCAACGTGCAGTTGCCAGTTGGCGCCGTTGTACATGCTCTATCTGACGTGCTCGCGCGGGCATTGTCCCGGGGCGTTCTTTGCCTTCGAAGCTGAGGGCCGCTCGGGGGGCCCGCGGCCCGCCGAGAGGCCGTGAGTCCTAGCCCTGACAGGCGCAGTCGTCGAGCGCGCTGGAGGGAAGTGCAGGGCGGGGTGGATAGCTCTGGTGGCGTGGCCGCCGATTGCCGAGCTGCAAGTTTGGCGCCCCGGCCCCTGGCAGAAGCCGGCAGCGCGGCTCCGATTCGCCAGCGCGAGGGCGCGCCTAGTCCTGAGCTGCTCCCCAGGGCCCAGTAGATCCACCCAGTGGGGCTCGCGGCGTCTCCTGGGGGCAGCGCGGGTCGCAGCATTGCCCCCCCCCCAGCGAAAACTTCGCGGGGGGCTGAGAGGCCGACCCCCCGCGGCAAGGCCTGGCCAGCGCGGCCTGGCACGTCGGCGGCCGGGGATGGGGGTTCAACCAAGCCGCCGGCATGGGTGATCATGCCGAGATGTTGCCAGCAGTGCCCGCGTTTGCGCGTCGCCTCCAATGGTTCCTTCCTTTGCTGACGGGTGCTGCCTCTGCCCTGGCGCCATAGCTCGAAAGCATCGATGTTGAGGGCGTGGTCGCTACCGGCAGCCTTGAGGGCGTTTCCTGGTTGGCCTTGGCCCTTGCCTCCCGCGGACCTGCCCCCCCGCCGCGCGCCCTATTTGCGCGGGCGGATCGTTTCGCGCGTCGTGGGGCTTTCGGCGGCCTGGGCCTCTGTCGTTGCGGTGAAACGCAGCGGGGGGCTTTCTGTTTGGGGTCGTGTTTTGGAGGGGCCGCGAGCGCCGCCGCGGAACGCCTGGGCCTCATCAGGGCCAGTTTCGGTCTCTTATTCCCTCCCTGCGAAGTTCCATCTTGCATGATCGGCGATTCGCTCTGCGCGATCAGAGCCGCGCAAGGATCCCAGCGTCTTCAATCGGACGTGCCAGTTGTTCGGTTTGCCGGTGTGATTTGGTCGCTCATCCAGTGGGCGGAAGGCTTGCGTTGGCCTCCAGAAATCGCAATGCGAATTT